TAACAGTGTTCCATAAATGTTGGTAGGATATATCAGTTGGCGAATGGCAAAATCTTTACTGATTGATTGAATGAATGAATGACTTAGTGACTTTTTTGGTGGTCATTTGAAGGTAGAGAGAAGACTTGAACAGAGCAGGAAGCTCCCCGAAGGCCCCTCATAGCACCCCCGAAAATCCAAAAGCGTTCTGTAACTTCAACTGGCAGGTCTCAGCGTCTTTTCTGTCTCATTTGCTGGAGGCCAGTTGGTTCCTGTAAGGGATTAATGAGGCCACAGATGTAGGTTTCATCCCACACAGCTCAGTTAGCTTCACGTTGAGAAAGACCATTCCACTACAGGTGTTAAGTCTGAAGAGCTAGACGAGGTCAATTTAGAATAACCCAGACATAAGCACATGTAAGAGGACATAGAGGAGCTCATCAGGTATTCCAATCCTGACTTGACACTAATGTTAAACAAACGACAGACAAAACATGTATGACACGCTGAGTCAGAATTGTAGGTATTTTTCAGTGGAATGGAAATTTTCAGTGGAATGGAAAATTTTAAGATAAAAAAAAATTAGAAGAAATGAAATCACCCATAAAATTACTCGACATTTTAATGGATTTGTTTCCAAGTTTTTCTCTTACATAGTTGAATTGCATGCTTAGAGATTTTCAATAGATCTATATACATTTCCCCACATTTGCCATGTGTGTTTATAAAATAATTTTCAAGGTCTGTGTAATACTCCACCCAGAGGAGTGTATCCATATGCATCGTGTGGATATTGGGTGTAGTTTACTTGATTTTTTTTTTTTTTTAAGATTTACTTATTTATTTGAGGGGGTAGTATGGAGGGGCAGAGGGAGAAGGAGAGAGAAACCCAAGCAGATACCATGCTGAGTGGTGAGCCAGACGCAGGGCTCAGTCCCAGGACCCTGAGATCAGGACCTGAGCTGAAACCAAGAGTCTGATGCTTAACCAACTGAGCCATCTAGGTGCCCCTGTAGGTCACTCGATTTTCATCTGGAAAAGTATCTTTTTGTTACCAATATGCACAGTAGGTAGTGGAAAAGACAATTTGCTTTATCTGATTGTTTACATACAGCTCTGCATGTTTCATTAACCAATACTGGTGTATTCAAAAGAATGCATTATTCAGCATGTCTGCTATTCTTCAGATAGCAAATCAATTTGTTCTTTTTTTTAAAAAAATTTTTTTTTAAAGATTTTTTTTTTTTTT